ACTTTGTTTTTAGTCCAACTAAAGAATTTTATAAATATATAATATAAATAATTTTGGTTCATGATATCATTTCTATTAGAATTTTTGAATAAAATTGCGAATGCATAATCATTTTATCGTATAATACCGCAAAAATAAAAAAATATCAAAATAATTTTCTTTCAATTTTCAGTTCCAAAGGTTTAGTATCAGTGTATCAAGATACTTCAAGGAAATATTATAAACAAGATACTTCAAGAAAATTTTTCATAAAAAATCCAAAAAGTAAACATAGTAAAACACAAATATCTTTAGAATTGAATAAGCTACCAAGGCCAACGCAAAGAAGTGTAAGGATGTGTTGGTTGGTTTCGTGTGTGACATCCCATCAATGAACTTTTAGCTCATTTAGAAAGCCAATTTGACTCTTTTAGATAAGTAAGTTAGCAAATGTAGATTTTCAGAACAGTCAGTTGGTAAATTTAAAAAAACAAGAAATTTTTTTTCCTTTTTCTAGTAAGTAAAATTTTAACGGCACTCTCTACGTGTTACCTACTTGTGCCGGCCCTGTAAGCTACAGTATATTACAATAATTCGGTTTTATTATGTGCCACTTTTTTGGGTTTAATTTATAAAAGTTTTCAATTCTTTGAAAAGTACAAGGGAAAAAAATTTTTAAATGCGTTAGAGAATTTTTGTCGAAATTTCATTAAACAAAAAAAGTTTGTTATATAATTCTATTTAAAAAGGTGACAAACAAATTTAAAAAATTTAAGTTATCATTTGACGATGAAGATGATATTTCCGGAAACGATAGTGACAAAATAATAAGTTTAGATTTAAAAAGAGAAATTAGTGGTTATATAAAATTGTCAGTAAATGAGCAAAATGTTTTTACATTTTTGGTATCAAAACTAACATGTATTTCCAATAATTTATTGTATTTCAACAATGATTTTATGTACGCCTGTTACCAGTGCACTAAGTGAACACATTTTCTCTGAGGCATTAAACACTTATGCATGCAAAGCGAAACTTATGCAAAGTTATACTTACGTATGCAAAGCAAAACAGAATAACAACTGAATGTTTTCAAATATTGATGTTTTTGTACGAAAATTTGGAATTTTTTAATTTAGTTTAAATTCATTAAATTTAATACTGAAGTTTTTGCTTGTAATAAATTTTTTTTAATATATTTATTGTTCTAAAAGAAATATTTTTAAATTTAGTTATACGAACTCTTTTGTGTAAAACTGATTTTTTTTTTTTTGATACAAAAAATTAAAAAATTAAAATAGTTTTTTAAATTTAAAATGTGTTAAAAAAAAAAGATAAAGAAAAAATTGAAAATTAAAAAAATTAATGTGTGATTTTAATGTTCTTGAGCGTGCGGTTTTATTATAATGTTGCCTAAAACAGCAAACTTTTTTACCTTTATTATTTTAATAGTTTGGTTGTTTTATTTTTAATATTTATTTATATATTCTTTAGTATTTTTTTAAACATCTATCTAATGAAAAAATATAAAAATAAATATAATAAAAAAGTTATTGAATTTTAGTTGATAATTGTTTCGACCCGGTTTTACACGTATTACAAGTGCTTAAAAACTACGTATTGCATTTTTCAAGTAATTAAAATGTCATAAACAATTTCCTGGTTTTAAAAGCGACCCCAGTTACTTAATAAAATGTTTTTCTTATTCAACAGTTAAGTATTATTTAATACATTTTATACACTATTCAACAACTTATATTGCGGATATTGCATTCAAAAATGCAAATACCAATAATTTTGCAAGTATCGCCAACCGACGAACAACTATACTCTGAAAGCAAAAAAAAATAAATTCAATAACTTATTTAACGATTTCCTTTTGGGTTCATGTCAATACTTTCGCCTGCTTTACTATAGTGTTTGCGGGTTGTAATAGCCGTTAGGAGAGGTTGATATTTGAAGAGGTGGGGAGGGAGAGTCATAGATTTGTTGTGAAATTTAGAGATTGAATCCATTCCTATAATATGGCAGGGGACAGGGCTGTACTGAACAACGAAGACGTAGGGGGAGGGGGTGAAAATGAAATTTTTACCATAAAAATCTCACCAAAGTAGGGATTTTTTTTATTTAAAAGCCAAGTTGCAGTTTTAACCGACCGAGTCTCAAATTTTCTAAATTACCGACAAAACCGACAGAAAGTTGTAACCCCGGGAAGGTGCCCATACTCACGTCGGTACGGCCTTGGCAGGAGAGATTATTTTTGATTTGCGATTGTTTTTGCACACTACCTATAGGAAGCAGCGCATAAAAAATATAAGTTAAACGTTCAATAAGCGTACCAAATTTGATATAATTGACTAAAGGGCATTATTTGTATATTCCATGCTGATTGGGTGTTTATAAACAATTGCAACAACTTCATAGGCAGTTGTCTCAGAGCTGGGAAAAAAATAAAATAATCGAATTTTGCATAAAACATTTCTTTTGAATAACAGTTTAGATTCACAACTAGTAAAGTGTTTAATTACGATAAAATAATATTTATCGCCTTAATAATGCTTCCTCGTGTGTAAAATTTTTATGCGAAAGATTATTTCTTTTTTCAAGCACTAAATCTTGCTTTAGTCGACTAAATTTAGTTACATTAAATATTTAGTCGACTAATTTGAGTTAACTAAAAAGTTAGTCGACTAATTTTAGTTAGACTAAAAAGTTAGTCGCTTAATTTTAGTTAGTTAAATAGTTAGTCGGGTAATTTTAGTAAACTAGAAAGTTAGTCGGGTAATTTTAGTTAACTAGAAAGTTAGTCGCGTAATTTTAGTTAACTAAAAAGTTAGTCGGGTAATTTTAGTTAACTAAAAAGTTAGTCGACTAATTTTAATTAACTAAAAAGTTAGTTAACTAATTTTAGTTAGACTAAAAATTTAGTTAAGTATTTTTAGTTAGACTAAAACTAACCTTAACTCCCACTCCTAAAAAAGTTACAAAAGTATTAAGGAAGCTGGTAACTTTCATAAATTATTATTTTAGAATATTGCTAAAGTTACTTTAATAATAAAAAAATAAGAATTTATCAGTCTTAATGAGACTTTTGATATATTTTTTTAAAATTAATTAATGTAAAAAAAAAATAACTTGTAAAAAAAAAAAGTTACTTTCAAAATAAATGTAATGTTATTATTATTATTTTTTTCATTAACTTTTTTTTTGTATTCAGATAATTTAAACTAAATATAAAAAATTTATCTTGTAAAAGTTTATAATAAAAATAAATCTTTTTAAATATCAATGGACTATTAACGTGACGTCACATTCCGCATGAGCAGGCCTTCTACTTTAGAAGGGCTTGTACTAACCTAAATGAACTTAAAATGAAAACTTGGGTTTTTCTATTTTAGACATTATTAACTTACCAATCTAAACCATTATAAATATTTTTTCCATTTACAAAATTTACAAAAATTTTCATTAATTCTTTAATTCTGGACTCACTCAAATTAGCAAATTTTAGTTCGGTCTATAAAAAAACGGAAGATAAATTACTTCCTGAAATCGAACCTATTTCGACCTATTTCACTAAACTCTGTTGCCTGCAAAATAGTCAAAATACTTGTCAATTTATTAACCATAATAAAATACTCTCTTCAAATCAACATGGCTTTCTTTACCATAAGTTATGCGTGACTAATCTAGTAGAAACTTGATATTATTTCATCTTCTAATTATTTCACTAATTTGTTGATTTCGATTTTGCCAAAGCGTTGATTCTCTACCTCAAAACAAAGTTATGTTAAAAATAAAATACTTCGAGATAAATGGGAAACAAAATAAAATAGTATAGTAAATCAATCCCTAAAAAGCTATTCTAAAGTGCGTATTTTAGGAGTCATTATTTCATATAACGCCGAGTGGAACACACAAAACCTTGATGGAATCTATTGAACGCAAAGCAACAAAATGGACTTCCAAATATGATACTACGAAAAATTAAGAAGATTGTATCTACCATCATTGACTAAGTGTTTTGGTCGGGTAGCGATAAACTTAGGGATAAAGGAAAATTTCCTCACTTTTGTATTTATGACATTTCCCACTAGATTATCAACAGCAAAAAGATCCTTAGGCACATTAAAACACATTTAAGGACAACAATAGCGCAAACCATACTGTTTGCTATTAGACCTAATAGCTACTGAAGCAGAAATAGCATCTCAATTAAATTTAAAAGGTGTTTTAGGCGAAATTGTAGCCATAAATACGAGAAACTTTCCTTAGATTTTACTTACCAGACTTGCATGGTGTAATATAGTGGTTTCTATTTAACTAAATTAAAATTGTATTTTTAAATAAGTTTTTTGTTTTCATGTATAATTTTTGTAAAAAAAAAGGAAAGGAGGGAGGAGCAGAGAAATAATTTAGGGGCCCGGATTAAAATTTTGCGGGGAGACCTATTTTTTGTCGCTACGCTACTGAAAGGTGGTAAGTGAAAGTTGATAGCTTATTGTTGAGATTTAAGTTTATTACATTTGCGACAAAAATAAAAGTAATAAAATCTGGTGTATTTTTTTTTGTATAATGTATAAAAAAATAACTTATGTGTTTCATTTTTTAACTCTAATATTAAAAAAATGAACTACATGTATTCATTTACAAAAAAATTTTATAAATATTTTAATTTGTATATATATATAAGTTTACAAATCTAAGTCTTTCTGAGGCGTAAGACTTAGACTTTAACAAATTATAAGTTCAATCGATTGAACTTATGGTTTATTAAAGTACCATAAAAATTTTTGCTCATCACCAACGGCAACAGCATAATTAGTTGTGAGTGACAATTTGAAATTGTTGGGAGTGAATAAAACTGTTTCATTCACTCACAATAATTAAAATAACAAAAACAAAACACCAACATTTTTAAAATGTTCAATATTATTGATTTTTTTTGCATAATATACTATTTGTTACTTTGTTTACACAGATGATAACATACTATTTAGATAAATTTTTAAAAAAACGTGGCAGAAAGGAACTTCTGCTTACCTAACTAATTGTAAAAATAGTCGACAAAGCCAAGATGCATGTACCTATTTTCATTTTATCATTTTTTATAGCAGTATTTGGTCACGAAGATCATAAACACGGGATTTCTGAAAGTGAACATTACCAAAAAGGAGGGCATAATATAAATTATGATCACGATGCATTTCTTGGAAAATCCCACGGGCACGACTTTGATACATTGGAACCAAGTGAAGCTAAAAGACGCTTAAAAATAATGATAAAAGAGGTAAAAATTTTTAATACTAATTTTAATATATGCGGCATTAGTATTTAGAATAATTCTTTAATACGAAGCGTGTGTGAATGCGTGTTTTGTGTGTGTGTGTGATTTTGTAGTGGTAATGTTTTGACATATTGTTTAGGTTGATAAAAATGGCGATGGTTTTGTTTCATTAACGGAACTACATGAATGGATTGAGTATCAGAGAAAATCTTTTATGAGAGAATCAATTGATATGATCATTGATCGAGATGATGATAACAAAGATAAACAAATTTCATGGAAAGAATACAAGTACGCTCATTACGGAAAATGGGACGACGAAGCCTCGATTGATAAAGTATTTTATTACTATTTATGGAAAAATTGAAATAATTGTAAAATAGTTTACTAAAAAACCATTTACTCAATTTCTTAGAAGCTGAGAGAAAAAATCAATAACGCTAAACATAAATTCAATGTCGCAGACGAAGACTTTGACGGAAAGTTAAACCGTGAAGAATACATGATGTTTCGACATCCGGAAGAAAGCACTCGTGTAAGTTTACAAGAAATTGCAATAGATGAAATTATCGACGAAATGGATGTTAATAAGGACAGGTAAAATTATAACTGTTAACAAAATCTTACAGTTAAAAAAATTTATTATTAAAAAAAAAAATTTTGAAAATTCTTTATTTTTTAATATTTTGAACCAGATTGGTTGATCTCAATGAGTTTCTAGGACAATATGTAGACGATCGAACTAACCCACCGGATTGGGTTGTCGAAGATCGCAAACACTTTGCTAAAACGTTAGATCTAGATGGAAGTGGAAAATTAGACAGAAATGAAATGCGTAATTGGGTTTTGCCTAAACTCAGTGAAACAAAAGAAGAAGCTAATCACCTTATAAAGGGTGCAGATGATAACAACGATAATAAGCTTAGTTATGAAGAAATCTTAGACCATTATAATCTTTTTGTTGGGAGCACAGCAACTGATCACGGGAAAGCGTTAAAATTTGATTTGTAAATCTTGTGAGAAATCAAACGACCCAACGTATTTTGAACGTAAGACAAAAAAGTACTTTTACAGAAACTTAAAGAGCAAATCAATCAGAAAATTAAGTTCATAAAAGATTATATCATAACCAAGCACTCAAAAAGATTCAAGTTAAATAAAATAACTTTTTGTCCATTCATATAGATAAACTTTCTAGGTTGCTTTTATGAAATCATTTTTATTTTGTTCGGTTAAAGCAAAACCATTTTATTTGTTCAATTTATTTGTTTATGAAAAAAATGCAAGTTATATTGTTTAGTTAAAAATGTATTCACAAAAAGTATACAAATTCAAATAACTCTACAAAAAAATCAAAAAAAATTAAAAAAAAAATCACTTATTTAACGGTTTTATTTTCTTAAATAATCTTATTAAGAAACTACAAAAAACTTTAGCGTTTGGAAATCTTTTCGTATAGTAGTTCCATCCGTGTGGCCATAACAGGCTGTCCTCGTGAAGTTTTTTTATTTAATCGTTTTGCAAGTTTTTTCCGCTTTTCAAGACTTTTTGCTACTGCCTGTTCGTGTTTTTTGATATTTGCACGTATTTCCTAAAAAAAAGTTTTTTAATGTGAATGTAAAGATCTTCCATAACAGGCGTTCTTGTGACTCGGAAAATTTTTTGGAAATTTGAAATTGATGCACGTGAGTTTTAGCACTATTTCGGTGAAGGAAAAGTTATTAAAAAAGAAAGCGAGGAAAGCCTATTGCTTAAATCTTTTTTTAAATAATCTAAAATATGTTCTAACATATTGTTTAAAAATTGTTGACAAAACGATATGTTCTGACCAATGATATATATTTACTAGATATCTAACATACGTTGCCTTTGTGAAGCAAATTTTTTTGCCAGTCAAAAATGGCGCAATCATAAAAAAAAAAAAAATAGACAAAATGAAAGTTATTTTTGTCAGTTTGAATAGAAATTATACTTTAAGTTAGCAGATTAGTAATGATTTCGTGAAATCATTTAATATCGGATATTTTTATAAATGTAGGCTAAAAGTAACGTCAGTTACTTTTAATTTGCTATTATAAAAAATAAATGCTGAACTAGTAGTTATATATAAAAAGGTCACGACCCTTGATTACACACTGGCTCCCATATATCACTGAATTATTTTTTCTTCAAAAGTATATCAACCTGGGTCTCAAAAGAACCAGAATTTTATAATGATTTTAAAATTTATAACCTTTTCTACTAAAACCTTTTTTTTTAAAAAAAATTGCTAACAAAATGTCATAAAAAGCAACCTTTTTTAGTTGAAAATTATTATTTTTGTGTATATAAAATTTAAGCAATTCATTTTTTTTTGAAACCATTATTATTTCTGAAATCTCTATAAAATTCTGGTTCTTTTGAGACCCTAACTTTTAGTAGTTAATTTTTTACTTTATGTCATCAAACATACACACACACACACACACACACACACACACACACACACACACACACACACACACACACACACACACAGATATATATATATATATATATATATATATATATATATATATATATATATATACATATATATATATATATATATATATATATATATATATATATATATATATATATATATATATATATATATATATATTATATATATATATATATATATATATATATATATATATATATATATATATATATATATTAGGGTGGGTCATAAATTTTTTTTTTTAGAGTTGCTAACCTGGCTATGGTCTAGAAAGTTGTTTTTTTATGTACTAATTTAGGAAAGTATTTACTTTTATGGATTGAACAATGTCTTCCACGCTTAACTATAATTACAAAAATTAGCAGGCCCTATTATTATTCAAAAAAAAAAGTTTTTCAAAATTACGTGATGTAGGTACTCAAATAAAGCGAAATTTTTATAAAATTTTATATTTCAAAAATAATAATTTATTCATATAAAAATTATTATTTTGGATTTTACTGCATAATAACTATAGTTTTTTAACTAAAAGTGAAAAAGGTGCATTTTTACATGTTTTTTAATAACAATTTTTTTCGGCAATATGATTTTAATAAAACGATTATTATTTTCGATTTTTTTATAAAATTTCGCTTATTTTGAGTACCAGGTTGACCTACTCTTGAAAAACTTTTTTTCTCCAAAATATTAGGGTACCGGTAATTTTCCCAATAAAGTTGCGCCCTTTAAATCTATCACAATCATTCTCATATTTGATAGTATCAATATTAATAACTATTAGCAATGTTTAGAGCCTGTAACAAGAATAAAAAATTTTATGACCCACCCTAATATACATATATATATATAAATATATATATATATATATATATATATATATATATATATATATATATATATATATATATATATATATAACAGATATAGAATAGATATACTTGATGGTTTCTGGTCATCCAACTTTTCTAGATGCTAAAGGGACAGTTGATTTTATTAGAACTTTAGAAAAACTTTGAGATATTTATCACTTAACCTTTTAATAATCCTGGTAAGAACTGGTTTTATGTCCTTATGAAGAGATGGTCAAAAGAAATCTTAACAAGAAAAGCGGTTAACTTAGCATCTAAAAGAGCCGCTTCTTGTAGGCCAGAAATAATTGATTGTTACTTTGAATGCATCGCCAAGCAATATCAACAAACTGGTATAACTTCTGGGTCGCATATTTGGAATTGTGATAAAAAAGAAATTGTTTACAGTATAATGAAAAAATTCATTATACTGTAAACAATTGCAGCAACGCTGATGGGCATTTTGCATCACCATTTGTGATATACAAAGTTAAATGAAACTTTCGTCCTGACTGGGCAAGAGGTGGTCCAGTTGGCACCAAATTTTCAATTTCAAAATCAGGTTGGATGGAGCACGATACGTTTATTGAATGGCTGAAAGAAGTATTTATACCCGAAACTGAGCAAATTAGTGGTATTTATATTTTAGTATTAGATGGGCATACAACTCACATAACTCTGGAAACGGTATTGGTGTGCAAAAAACAAAATAAAATCTTGATTTGTCTACCAGAGCATTCTTCACAAATTCTACAACCAATGGATAGAGATCTATTGTCATGTCAAACAAGCATAGAAAGAAACTCTTACAAAGTATTACAAAGACTCAAAATGTAAAAATTTAGATAAACAAAATTTTCCACCATTGCTCAAACTGCTGTATGAGTGGTAAATGTTTTACACACTTGCATGCAATCGCTAGTTTCCAATACACTGGCTTATTTCCACTTAATAAAAACAACCTAAATCATAAATCATTAGCAATCACAACTGTTTAACTCACCTTCATCAACTTTAGCAGCCTCTGCAGCACCTTCACCATCTTGCTCAGACACAGCTTCATCATCTTCAACAGCCGCTGCAGCACCTACTCCAACTACACACCAATTACCATCTTTATCAACTACACCAGCTTCAAGTTTTGATAAGTATCGAGCATGTGTTGAGTGTTGCGAAAACAGTATCGAGATAGAGTTGAAGCAGTTTTTTCTAGCCAGAAATCAATCGCACGTTAAGAAATCAAAGCAGTGCAACATGTATAAAATTTACGGAAAATGTATTACCGAAGAAAATGTGAACAAGTTCCTCAAACAAAAAGATGAAGAAAAAGCAACAAAGGAAGCGGCAAAAGTAGATAAACTTAACGCAAAACCTAGACTCTCTATGCCAAGTACTCAAATGCCTGAGCATAACAATGCTGAGCAACCTCAGCAAAACAATAATGAAGCACAACTACCAGCAGCCAAACAATTAAAAGTTGCAAAATGTAAAAAGTGTAGAGTACAATTGCACACAGAAATGTTGCAAGGCAAGAATTTGATGTGTCGGTAACAGTTGTGCAAAGAAACATGTTTACTAAAGAAATAAGTAGTTGGAACTAAATTTTTTTGTTGCAAAAAATGTAAAAACTTTAATATAGCTTCTTAAATATGAACTGTTTTAAAAAAAATAATTAAAAAAAATTTGAAATTTAAAAAATTCAATGTTTTCTCAAGTTTTTTATCAGAATGTCGCCTAAAACCGCACAATTTTTTTTTCTTTACATTTAATATTTTCGATAATTTTATTATTTTTTTTAACATTATCTTATCTAGTTTTTTATTACCTATCTAATCATTCATATCAAAATAATCATTTACCTTTTTCTATAATCAAATATATATATATATATATATTTTTTATAACAAAAACTCAAAGTTTTTTTCAAATATTACTTTTAAGTTATAGTTGTTTTAACACGTTTTTTTCAAATATTACTTTTAAGTTATAGTTGTTTTAACTTTTCTTTATGTACTAACGTTAATGTACTAAAGTTAATGCTTTTAAAAACAGTATATAAGTTAATAAATTTGTTTATTTAAGTACAAAAAGAAAGTTATCACGGGTTACCGGCTCACAAGCTTAAAAAAACTGCTTTACTTTTTTTAACGGAATTTTTGCGAAGTTAGATCTAGTTAAATATATATCATTGGTTCTGAAATGTTTTTTTGCCATTTAAAATCATTTCAAAACCAATTAATTAATAAAAAATTACCTTTATAATAATTAATTAATAAAAAATAACCTTTATAATAATTAATTAATAAAAAATACCTTTTATAATAATTAATTAATAAAAAATAACCTTTATAATAATTAAATTAATATTTAATTAATAATTAATAATTAATTTTTTTTGAAATAAACTTATAAAGTTTATCTTGCACAATAAACTTTTTTGTTCGGATAAGATCTAGTGTCTACTCTAATCATGCCTTCAATATAAAAAAAAGTCACATTTTTTACTTTGGTTGATAGGTCTAAAGATTCAATTTTTAATTAGTTGCTTTAGATCTTTTTTCACTTAAATCTTTAATTACTTTAGATTTATTTCAATTAAATCTTCAATTACTTCTGATTTTTTTTTCATTTAAAGTTTCAATTACTAATGATTTTTTTTTCATTTAAAGTTTTAATTACTTCTGATTTTTTCATTTAAACCTTCAAGTTTTACTTTAGATTTCATTTTTTATGCACTTACTTCTGATTTTTTGCGTCTTTCTTCATGAATTTTCTCATAGTCGATTTCGATTCTTTGAGAACTATTTTTTATTTTATGAGTGGTTTGTTCTGTTTTCTTTTTTTTCGACAAAATCTTTGGTGCATCACTAAACTTGTAAAAAAAAAAATAATTTTAAAATCATTCAAGAAAATTTTGTAACATGTGTTAAATAGAATAAAAACATATACTACAAACATCTTTTTTTGTGCTAAAGGCACAAAAGAGAAAGAAGAGACATAAATAAAACTGAAGCAATAATCAATTAGAAAAAAATTAAAGCGTAATAAATACTAACACAGAGCTTAAACTATCTGAAGAGAAGATTTCTGTTTTAATAGTTTCATTTGCACTAGAATTAGTTAATGTATCCTGAAGAAGAGAGTCTTCTATGTTCGATAAAGGTTGCAAATAAGAGTCTTCTATATTTGATAAAGGTTTGATTGCAACAGGAGAAGTTAACTGATTAGCTTTTTTTTTTTTAAATGTCCTATTAAATTTCTTTAATATTTTTTTTTTTTGAAGAGCAGCAAATCCTTGACCTAAAAATGAGTTAATTAAGATTATTTAAAATAAAAGCATTCAAAACATGGTAAATCTTATAATTTCCCCCCCTATACATTAGTCTTAAGTTTTTGTATATAGCTATGAGTTTGTTTATTGTTTGTAATATTTGTATATAAAGTTAGTGTTTTACACAACTATTATTTGATAACAGAAAGTATAACTATTTGAGTATTGCATCTCCTTTATCTCAGATCGGTGCCCTTTTTACAACTTTCAAAATCAATATATTCTAAAACGGTCTTAGATCAAGAATATTTACAAATAGTAATAGTTAACATTCAACTGAAATCTAAAGTTAACATTCAATTGAAATCTGAAGTTAACATTCAATTGAAATCTGAAGTTAACATTCAATTGAAATCTGAAGTTAACATTCAACTGAAATCTGAAGTTAACATTCAATTGAAATCTGAAGTTAACATTCAATTGAAATCTGAAGTTAACATTCAATTGAAATCTGAAGTTAACATTCAATTGAAATCTGAAATTAACATTCAATTGAAATCTGAAGTTAACATTCAATTGAAATCTGAAGTTAACATTCAATTGAAATCTGAAGTTAACATTCAATTGAAATCTGAAGTTAACATTCAACTGAAATCTGAAGTTAACATTCAATTGAAATCTGAAGTTAACATTTAATTGAAATCTGAAGTTAACATTCAATTGAAATATTGTTAGTAAAGTTTTGTCTCTAAAGTTTTGTGTGTTTTAGTTATTACTTACTATGTTTTAAACTTAATAATAATAAAAACAATGATAATAATAATAAGAACAATTACCATAGAAATAGTAGTAATTATAAGAATAAATTTTGTAATTTATTGCATATGGTGGATCTTAATGGGCCGTGTATGCTTATAATGGGCCATGTATGCAAAGCAGAGAAAATAGTTTTAATAGTACAAAAAATACACTGCATGAAATCAGATATAAAAGTCAGCAGGAAAAAAAGATCTGAAAGTAAAAAGTACGGGATCAATGTTCCATATCAGTAATAGTAGCGTAAACAATTATAACCAAATAATCCATAATATGAGTATAGGTAATAGTTATCAAACTATTAGGACTATATTTGAGATAATAAAAATGTAGTAAAATTGGCACTTAAACCTCACGCAACAGCCCAACTCAGCGCCTTATCTGATTGTTTCAATAATATGATAATAATTAAAACCAAATGATGTGTATGAAATAAAGACAAATGGTGTGTGAGTAAGTAAATAAAAGTACACATACACAATCAAATAAATATATGTTTAGAACAAACATAAAAAAAATGCAAAGTACAAAATATATACATGCATATATAATATATGTAAATACACAAAAAGGGCAGAAAGATAATATAAAATATATTCGTGGTGTAAGATCCAATTAAAATCAAGTAGTAAACTAATGTAGGTGAAACTCCATCCTCAGGGCAATAATAGATTTGGAGAGCTTGATAAAAAAGACTAGCATCACTTGCCTGTATAAAGGGTTGATTGTTTGGGTTATACTTGAAGTCACTCTCACTGATACAGAACATAAAATCCTGCACTTTTTTCTTTGAGATCTTCCTTTACTGTACATTCTTGTGTACTATCTAGATCTTTATACTTTCTCTGCATCTTTATGGATTTATATGTATAAAAAAATGCAAACAAAAAATAGTGACAATAATAATGATAAAAAAATAAAAATAGTGCAATCGTAAAAATAAATTTTAATGGAAACCTTTTTTTTAATTTTTTAATCTTTTTTATTTTATGTGCTCCAAGAAGTCCTTACGATTTTATTACAGAGCACAACAGAGCAGTATACAGAGCACAACAGTATACAGAGCACAGCAGTATACAGAGCACAGCAGTATACAGAGCACAGCAGTAGAGCACAGCAGTAGAGCATTTAAAAGGAAGTTCACGCCTCTTTCCTTACCAATGTTATAAAACTTGCCCATAGGTGGCATTGAACCATGGATCTCTAGCATCTGAGACAAGCGTGATAACCACTAAGGCTGCTCTTTACTATAACTTTTATTAGAAGTGTTTGTAAAAAATATTTAACTATAATAATAAAAGTAATAATAATAATAATAATAATAATAATAATAATAATAATAATAATAATAATAATAGAAATAATAATAATAATAACAACAATAATGTTAATAATAAAAATATTAATAATAATAATAATAATAAAAGTAATAATTACTATAACAATAACAAATAATTTTAAAGAAAAAATTAATAACCTGTCTTGGAATTGCCAATTTGTTTTTGAAATTCACTTTTATAAAACCTTTTTTTGTTTTTTTTCTTGTCACAGCAAGATGAATCATATATTTTCCCTTTAACACTTGAATCTGATCTACGATTTGAAATAAGTCGACCCATACTTAAACAACGGTTTCACAACTAATCACCATGTGTTTATGATTTAAATAAATGAAAGAAATTTTAAATTTTCTTTAAATCAAATAAAAAAAAGAGTTAACTAACAAATTTTTTTTTTTCTTTAGGAATATCTGATATTTGCTATATTATTATAAATAATTTTGAATGAAAAAGTGCATTTTGAATGAAAAATATTTTGTCCATCATTATGTAAGCAGTAAGTGTAACAAATTTTCTTGTTTGCACAAGAAAGTATAGAAAAAGTAAAAAAGTAGTAGTTTGTAATAAGCTGCCAAACTAAGTACGTTCCTTAACTAAGTACGTTCCCTATTTAGTTTGGTATACAAATTGACTGTGTACATAAAACTAAGTACGCTCCCAATTTAGTTTAATATACAAATTGACTGTGTACATAAAAGTTGTACATAATTGACTGTGTACATAAATGAAAAAAGTTTAAAAATAAAAAAAGTTAAATGTGTAATAGGTTTTAAGTTAAATTAATTACACATTAATTACACGTTAAATTGTTAATAATAAAATAATCAAAAAATTAAAATTTTTTTCAGAAACTTTTTTATTTTAAATAATCATAAGATAAATTCTGAAAAATAATACATTGCGTATAAACTGTCAAAATGAAATGGAAACTTAAAAAATGATTTTAATCTTTAAATTGCCATTCTCTGCGACACATTGGACAAAGTTGTTGCATTTGTTGTGAATTTAACCACTTTAAAATGCAATGCATATGAAAAACATGAGTACATTTTCCCCATACTAATGGACAATCATCTCCAGGTATTTTGCAATCAGGGCAACATCCATCAAACTGCATTCTACATATTCCACAAGTCTCATCATTTGCCATCCAGTGCCATACGGCTACAGCCATCCAACTTTTCACTTTAACTTTCATTATAATAAAATTACATTGTTTTGCTTCTGCAAAAATACAGAAATATATTTGAAAAAACAAACATTTTTATTTATTTGTTATTAACTAAATAAACATGTTTTAAAATATCAAAAGCAAAAGCAAAAATTAAAAAAAGAAATTGTTGTTTTGTTTTTAGTTTTTATACTTCAACTTAATGTTATTATTATTATTTTTTTTAATGTTCAGAGTTAATAAATTTCAACCAACAGATCTCGACCAATCTAAAGTAATTGATAACCAAAAGCCATCAAAAAAACTTCATATGCTACCTTGAATTAAAAAAAAAGGATTGAATAAAAAAGTGCATTAAAAGAATGTGTTTTAACAAAAACTAAATAAAAAAATATTTTACTCATACCTTTTCCAGACAGGTGTTTGTTTTAATGCAAGTAACAGTCCAATTTCAGGATCCCAGCGCGATGCTTCCAATTCAAAGAATAATTTCTGAAAAATTATTTAAAACAATCAACATATAAAATAACACTTTTTTCATTTTATTAAAAAGAAAAGTTTACATACATCGTCATTAATAATAAACTCTTCATTCATTCCTTCTATATCAATATGAGGGTTTGGATCTAAAACATTATCAACAAGTTGTTCACCTTTTTTTTTTTAATTTTCCTTACATTGAACTCTAAAACTTTTTTATAAATATTTCCTACAAATCTAAAAATTTAACATCAATGAATTTTTTACATCATTGCTTTAAATTATGGTTTTGATTCCAAATCTATTTACTCAGAATATAAGAATAAATTAAAGCACATATGTTTAATGAGAAGAACTTTGTCATACTCACCAGCATATTCAGGTTGTTCTTCTTCTTCATCATCATCATTAAATGTCTAAACAAAACAACCCACACTAATAAATTCTATATGAAACAAAACAACCTTATACATCAACTTACTAAATGTTTTAATAAAAAAAAAAAAAATTAGGGTGATATAAACATTTTCACAGAAAATATTTATATGCTGTTTATAAAACGTTTAGACTGTTTATATGCTTCATGAAAAAAATAGTGTTGTCATTGGCTACAATTAAATCGACTAAAAGACGATTAGCCAAAAGTCAAAATTAGTAGACTTTAAAAAATCAAATAGACGAGTTAGTTGACTGGATTTCCTACTAATTGACTATAAGTCTTTTAATCAGTTAATCAAGTTGATTTAGTCAATCAGTCAATTAATCATCCTAACATCCTTATTTCTATCATTTCATTATATTTAACTTCATCTATCTTTAATTTTGTTTTGATGTTATGATGAATGATTAACTTTGTTAAAAGTTTTACAAAGAAAAACTATTTATAAAGATTGAGCCATGTCTAAAAATATTTTAATATAAAAATATTTTAATATAAAAATATTTTAATATAAAAATATTTTAATATAAAAATATTTTAATATAAAAATATTTTAATATAAGAATATTTTAATATAAGAATATTTTAATATAAGAATATTTTAATATAAGAATATTTTAATATAAGAATATTTTAATATAAGAATATTTTAATATAAGAATATTTTAATATAAAAATATTTTAATATAAGAATATTTTAATATAAGAATATTTTAATATAAGAATATTTTAATATAAGAATATTTTAATATAAGAATATTTTAATATAAGAATATTTTAATATAAAAATATTTTAATATAAAAATATTTTAATATAAGAATATTTTAATATAAGAATATTTTGTGTTTTTTAAAATTTATGAGAAGTTTCTGCCAAAAATAAAATAATTTTTTATTAAAAATAAAAAAAGTATTTTATTTTTAATAAAAAAGTATTTTATTAAAAATAAAATACTTTTTTTGCATAACTGCTTCATCAGTGTGTTTGGATTTTTCAGGTGCATCCAAAATAATTACAGAAAGACAAAAAAGAGTCTGGAACCAGATTTAGCCTTATCAATGTAACTTATTTAATTAGAACATAAAATGCAAAACAGCGTTTTTGTTATTTTTCTTTACTTTACGATTGTAATTATATATTTTTTGATTTTAATTCATTTAAAAACTATAGCATGTATAATTACAAATATCATGTTTTGTTTACTCTCAAAAAGTTCTGTTTAATTCATAGCATCTAAAAAATAAAAAGTTGGTCGAAAATCGATTTTGACAGACCCATGTTCTTTTTGTGATAAATAGCACAATAGTTCTTTAAACAAATAGTTTTTTAGTATTGCACTAGCTTTTATTTGATATTCATTCTAGCTTTCACATATAAATCTTTACAGTAAATGCCTGCAATTTAGAATTAACAATCAAAATTAGACAAAAAATCAGACATAAGGAAACCAGTAGTGATTAAAATGAACATGGTTCAGGTAAAAAACATTACTATGAGACACCGAGGTGATGACAAGTCATTTATCAACAGTAAAAAAATAAGAAAATAAAGAAATGTTACGATTGGTAAAAATTTTTAATTGAAATGCAATTGACTAGTGACTCTTTACAGGATTATTGCTAATTGTCTTTTTTATATTTGATTATTTCTTTATTCTGGAGAATCAAAAAGTATTTTTATTTTTTTCGAAGGTTGTTTGATTGACCATTTAGGCATTTTTTTGACAAGATCAACAAAAAGAGACACCGACACCTAGTTCAGGGAATAGGGTAACCTTAATAAAAATTATGCATTGTTGTATTGTTTTTATATTTAATTATTTTTTGACTTTATATATTTATTTGTTGACTTTAGAAAATACATCAGTCAACTTAGTCAACAGTCAAATTTTTTCATAGTTTTCAACAACACTAAAAAAAAAAAAAAATACAAAAAACCTGGTTCACTTGATCAGTTAACAGCTGATTTGATTGAATTGTTGTAGAAGAACACACACTTGGTGAACGAATAGATGCCTCACGATTTAATCCAGCTCTATCTGCTGCTTGCTAAATTTTATGAATAGTAAACAACTTTTATTTTTAACACTTGTATCTTTTTTAAACACTAATATTTTAACACTAGTGCGCAAACTTAAATTAAGTACTTGGGCATATTCTTGACACTGTTGCATGAACTGATACATCTGTTGCATATAATTCATTTGCATTTGCATCCATCCAGGGAAAACAGTATTTGGATCCATTAAACCACTAGCTACAGCATTTATTGGATTTTTACTATATAAAAAATGAAAATTAAAACATTTTTATAAACAAAATCTACAGCTAAAAATTTCTATTTTTTTAAAAAATAAAACAACTTTTTTGTTGCTGTAACTTTCATTTTACATTATAAATTAACTTTCATAACCTTTTAACAGCTTTGTTAACTCGAATTGGCCTTTGTCCTAAACCTTTAACACCTTGCATTTCTGTAAGAGCTCTATTAATTTCTTCTTCATTGAAGAATCGAACAAAACCATATCCTCTTTATTTTAAAATAATTTTCTTTGTAATCGATATAAAACTTTAATTTAAAAATAAAAAGAAAAAAAAAATTATGAAAAATTAAAACATACTTATGGCTTCCTTTTTCATCAATGACAACTAAATAAATAATATAACCTCTATGATAAAAGCTCATTTGAAAATTAAGTTGACTGCAAATCACAATAAACAATGTCTGTTTGATAACTTAATTTTTGTGTAAAGACATGCAGAGACATGTTAAAAACATATAGAAAATACATCTATTACTTAAAAACATTATGCTGATGACAGCATTTTAAAAATATAGATAACGCTAATAAAAATGACGATAATAAAAAATCCAAATCTGTGCCACCTAAATTATGTTTAATTTATGTCTTTATGTGTTTTTATTTTAGAGAAATTTATTTTTATTGTGGATTTTTATTATTGGTAACATGCTCTCCTTTATAATTATGATAGATATAATATTAAAAGAATCATCAGATGTTTCAATCCCAATATGATTACATTATGTTAATAACAGACCAGTATAAGTTATATATGTATAAGTTATATAAGTATAAGTTATATGCAAATAACTACAAAGACAAAGAAAGTCTCAAGTTGTTGTGACTGCCCCCAAATTGTCAAAGACAATTGACAAAAGATTTAGAAATTTTCTTTTTAATTAATTATGGATAAAAAAAAAACAAGTACGGTAAAGAGAGGGAACCTTTTTATATGCCAATTTTGCAATCAATCAAAGTAGTGAAAGATAATCTAAGAAGATGTAAAGCAGATCTAAGAAGACGTGTGATATTGTGTTACTATTTATCACTATAAATTATCAACATTATTTCAATAAAGATAAAAGGCATTTGTTCTTGATTAAAATTTACAAGTCTTTGCAAGTCTCAAATTGTTGTGACTGCCCCCAAATTGCCAGAGAAGAATCCACTCATTGGCTGTTTCTAAGCAACCCAAAAGAAATGACTTTTTATCAAAAGTAAAATATTTTGTAGCCACGTATAGATTTTCAATATTTACAGAGTTTTTTAAAATAAGATTCCAGCAAAAAAGAAAACAAGATTTAGTTAAACCTTAGTAATAGTTTATTTATAGGGTATATAATAGGGTATTTATAAGAATTCAGGAGAACACTTTTGATATAAGGTAAGAAATATCATAAGAAATTATGTTATTGATAATATAGTGATGATTTTATTAGAAAAAATTTGAGTTAAACATAAACAAAACTAAAAAAAGCTATGCAATTGTTTTATTCCTGTTAATAAACTTAAAGTCACGATAATGGGCTCTTTATGTGGACAATAAATACAAAAATCTCTATAAAAAACTCTTAAATAATAATTCTTTTCTAAACTAAAATGCGTAACTGTTATATATAGAACTGCTGAAAATTGTCTGAATTAAATTTTTAATATTTAAAAATAAATTTAAAATAGTTTAAATGAATGATTCTCAACCATTTTTTTGTTATGGCCCACTTTTAACCATTTCAAAATTTTTATGGAAATCTATTACTGTTAAAAGTATTTTTTTTTTTAAATCGTTTTTCTAATAAAATTTAACATAATTATATATCTAAACACTTTAGAATTTTAGAATTTTACACACACTTTTAGAATTTCTCGGCACACTAAAGTGCCATGGCAGAGTAGTTAAGAATTACTGGTTTAAAAAAAATTGTGATGATTTCAAACATTTGATTTATTATTTCAACAAAATTGGTTTACCTTTAGCTGCTCTAACTGAAGGATACTTAATTCGAAAAAAATCCTGAATAATATAAAAATAATAAAACAATAAATAGTGTACTAAAACATTTAAACTCAAACATTTAAATAACTTTTTTAATTTAAGTAAATTTAAATAAAACCAAACACAAATTAAAAATATGAAATTTTAAAAGTAAAATCTTTAGAGTCAAAAATAAAAAAAGATAAAAAATTTGAAACTCATGTGTGAGCAAGATTATTTAATATGAGATTCAGACAAATATTTGAAACAAAAACATTTTTTAACAGTTGTGTTAAAAAACAATATTGAATATAGCATCTTCAATTGAAAAAAAAACTCCAATATATAAAAATTTACCATTACGGGATATATATTAATTACACAATAATAATACAAATAAACAAAATACAAGAAAGTTATGACTCAACTACACATTTAAAAGAATATTTTCTTAGTTAAATTTACCAGTAGATGGTTATCATTTACATCTGAAGTTATGTCTCCAACAAACAGTGAATATTCAATACCATCACTAGCAAAATAAAGGAAATTATTTGATTTAAAATTTTCCATAAAAACATACATAAAGCATAAGTAAAAATATCTATAAACATAAGTAAGCATAAGTAAACATATAACCTATGAGATGAACCTCTTCCATACTCTGAACGGTTTAATTTAAATTTTTTGCCCTAGTAAAAAAAAAAAATACTTCATTAATATTTATAAAAATAAAGAAATAATCTAATTGAATATATATTCAAAAATACCTCTATACCAGGAATTGATTCTCCGTTCAATTTAATAAGTACTTCTCTTGCTGTTTTGATATCACCAAAATCAACAAAACAATATGTTGCTCTTTCACTATAAAAGAATATGTTCTTTGAACATAAAAAAATGCAACACTCTTTCAATATATAATAATGTTTCTCTTCGTTTATAAAATAATAATAGCTTTGTCATAAAACAATTTAATCATAAATGCTGTATGTATGTATGTATGTATGTATGTATATATGTATGTATGTATGCGTGTATGTATGTATCAAGTTCCTGGGAAGCGTGTGCTTTGTTCCCCGGTAAGCCTTGTTCGTCCATGCTTAAAGCAATTTTTTTAGACAACTTGACCACGTTTTTATATAGTAAGCGTTTTAAGAGTTTGCGGTAAGATAAAGCTATAAGAAACTAAAAAGAATAAAACAGCAATACTTGAAGAAAAGAATACAAAATAGAAAATCTAAATAAAATAAGCTGAAAAATAGAATATTAAAAAAAGAAAATTGTCAAAAAATTAATATACCTAAATATTTTCCTGTTTTTGTTTTCATATTTTTACGGAGTTTGCTATTTTCCACTACCAAAATCGATACAAGTCAAGGAAAAAAGTAGATAAGAATTTAGGCAAAATGAAAATATTTTTTGTTATACTGTTTTTTTGCGACTTTTTTCAGTCAGTATATTATAGAAATACTTTATAATTGCACTACAAACATGGGCAATTTTCAAATTTGTTTAAACAAGTTTTTCATGTAAAAAAATAAAAAGTTGTTTTTAATACCTCAATTGAAATAGTCTGCACTTTTGTAGGATTATCCAAATTGTGCATTTAAAACCGTTAGTTTATTATTTTTTTTGTTGTTCATTTAAAAAATAAACAAAATTTCTCATAGTTCAGCGTACATAGAAAATTAGTTTTTTAATTAAATGGACTGATAAAAATTTTGAATAAATTGCATATCAAAACTTTCAATTGTTGTTAAATTGTTATAAAAGATGTTTTTTTCAACAACTCTAAAAAAAAAGAATGAAAAAGATTTGAAATGCTTTATAAGTTAAAAGATGCAAACTGCTGTGGTCAGTTAAAACATGGATCCACGCCGTTCCCAGGAAGGCTTGAATGTATGTATGTATGTATGTATGTATGTATGTATGTATGTATAATAAAATAATTTTTTTCAGTACAAAAATATTATATTAAATTATTAAATATATTCTTATTGACTACTGTTACTTTCATTTACATTGATAATTATTAATAAAAATGAAAAAGAAAATATTTCTACTTATTATCATTATTCATATATAACTAAATAGTTACTAACATGCATACAATACATAACTTATCTAAATTTATATAATACATAACTTATCTAAATTGTAAAATATAAAACATTTTAAATTTCATATTATTATAAGCTTTAAAAAAAATATTTAAAAATTTTTTTTACTATAAAAGTTGTTATATCCTAAATCATTAGGTAGTTGTAAATTATTTAAAACATAATAACCATAAACTTTTTGTTTTTAAAAAAATTACCTTGTTGTTTTGTTAAATATTTCTTTTACAGCTAATACCTTAAAGCCCATGTTTGCAAATGCCTCTTTGATAAACTTTTCATCCATATCAGCTGAAATCTAGAAAAAAGTTACTAGACATTTACATCAATTATAACATAAAAAAAATAGTTAAAACTTTTATAACATTATTAAAACAAATTGATCATGTTCTAGTAATCAAGACTCATTGATCCTAGGTCTGCCTTGGAGAGAGGTTTTAAAATCGTATCTGGTACTTTTCATCTTGTTACCAGTAGTTCTGACTTCCTGAGGTGTTGAACTTGATATTGAATTTTAACAGCATCTGAACAACTCATTTTTTTCAAATAAAAATATAATATATATCAGTATCTCCTAAAACTGACATATTATTCCATTGCTTTAAACTAAACCAACAGATAATAATTTTAAATACATTACAAAATGAGTTCTACATTTTTTTTGTAGTAAACATCTTTTTTAAATCAAAAATTTGATAAAAAAAGATTCACATTAGTAGCTAAAAATTGTGTGTGTGTGTGTGTTTTGTAGATTTTTAAAAGAATAAAAATAAGTTAAGAGTTTTTAAAAAGATTTTTTTATTTAAAAGAGTTTCCACATTTGATATGTTCATCATGCAAGATGATCATCATGCAAGACAAATCTCAAAAAGTTATGCTCTGTAATATTCTTATGCTACAAATATACTAATTTGAATCAATTAATTTTAAATAAAAATAAATAAAAAATAAAAAAAATGCTTGTAACAAAAAAAAAATGACAGCATCATTGATAGTAAGAAGATTAATGGGACGATAGTTAGATAGATAGATTACGATAGTTACACAAGATCGCTCTCCAGATTTTATGAAAATAGGGATAACAGATGTTTTCCAGCAGATTGGAAAGTCCGATAAGTACTAGTTATACAGTTTTTGAAAATAGGGATAACAGATGTTTTCCAGCAGACTGGAAAGTCCGATAAGTACTAGTTATACAGTTTTTGAAAATAGGGATAACAGATGTTTTCCAGCAGACTGGAAAGTCCGATAAGTACTAGTTATACAGTTTTTGAAAGAAGACAATTCTGGAGAACATTTACGCAAAACTATAGCAGGTATGTTGTCTGGACCACAAGCTTTAGAAGAGTCTAAGCAGGAAATCACTTTAGATCCAGAAGCTTTAGTGAATGTCAAGTAATGGATTAACCTGTTTGTCAGCTAAATCAGATAGGATATGATTAGAGGAATCAAATGAAAAAAAAAAAAGAGATGTATGAAAAGTACTTAGCAAACAATTCAGATTTGTCTTTAAGGTAACAAAATCTGAACCATGCAAGGGAGGTGGACTAACAGATTAGCCCTTTATATAGATACTGTTAAAGATTCTCCAGAAGTCACAAGAGCTTAATTTTTGAGATAAAATACAAGATTTTATGATCTGAGAATAGCATTTCTAGCAATAGTAAACAGGAATCTGTTTTCTGGAGAATTGTTTTGCTGATAGATACGGAAGTAATGGTTTCGATTGGAAATAGAAACAGCACAATGCGAGGAAAACCATGGAGATTTGACTAAATAGATAATGCGGAGCATATTTTAAAAATCCAGAAAATTATTTTAGTAAAATATCCAGAAAAAATCTGTTTTCCTCTTAATTTTTTAGCTGAAATGTTTCTAAATTTTTTTTAAACTTTTCTTAGTTTTGTATGAGTGATGAGTGAAAAAGGTTAAAAAAGAAGTATATTACAAAAATATATACCTTAACTTATATGTATGGAAAACATTTTGGATATCTAGAAAAACTAAAAGTTGAGAAAAGTATCTGAAATTTACGGAAATATCCAGAAAAAGATAATCCCTGTGACTTGGAATGGTCAAAAGGGATTAAAAAATTCAATGCCTGATGAATCCAAGAATTTATGTAAGAAGCACATTTGACAGCAGGAAAACAAAATATTTCTACCCAAGGGCCATCATGAAGAAAATCAAGGAAAAAGTCCCAGCCAGATTAAGATAGTTATAAAAGGTACTATGGTAGGGGGATTCTGATGATGAAGAAGAATGAGATAACAGTTTTAGAGAGATCAAACCATGATCAGAAGCACTTAAGGGTGAATGTGGAGAAACTGAACACTGACTAGGATCATAAACAAGACATAAGTCTAATAGAGAAGGTAAATGATTCGTATTGTCTGGAAAGCGAGTTAGAAAGATGACTATTTGAGTTAGAGATTGAGAAAGGCAAAAGTTGTAGGCCTTAACGCAAATGTTATCTTGTTTTTATTATACAAAATTAGGTTAACTTGCTTGATAACACAAACATTTACCAACCAAATCTAACTCCACAAGAAAAAAAAAAGAACGTTTTTATTTTATAATAAAAATTAGGAAAAATCTTACACTTCCCATCCATAGCCATGAACTCTCTGTTGCCATTTTCAATATTAATTTTTACAGTACAATTAAACTTTTTTTTTTTTAATTTATATAATTTTTTTTCTCAATAAAAACAGACCTAAAAAGTAAAAATAACATAACAGAGAATTTCTCAAATAAGAGAAAAATAATATTGAATGATAAGAGATTTAGCATAATAAATAATAGAAATTCATCTATTTATTCACAACACAAACCAATAAGCTTATTATCTTATTAATAAACTCTTATCTCCAAAAAAAAAGAAAAAATAATTCATCACAAAAATGGTTTTGCGTGAAAGGCAAACCATTTGTTTGACTTTTTCACAATATTTATTATCATATGAACTTTAATTATTATTATTATTATTATTATATGAACTTTAATTAATTAAGAGAAACATGGAGGAAGAAGTTTCTTTTCAATCATGTTAATTAATTACAATAAACCCCCCCCCCCCCCATATCACATACCCTTATATAATACATACATACATGCATACATGTACACACACATATACATACATACATACATACATACATACATACATACATACATACATACATACATACATACCTACATACATAGGTTTGGACACATTTTTAAAACAATAAAGTTTTTTTTTTATAATAAATATTCCTAATAACTCAATCAATAAATGTGAACTAAAATACACATAAAAAATCAAAATAAGAACATCTTGGAATCAGACTGCTATAAAACAAAGATTTTTGAACATCAAAACTCTGATAAAACATAGTATATCAACATAAATCTCTCATCCTCTCCTAAATTTAAAAATTCTATTATTACTAACTCATTTTCCATTCTTGACAGAGCATCCTCTAAATAGAAGCTTAAAATAGATTATGATAAATTTGAAAAACCTTCACTCAAAATACAGATAAAAAACTATACTATTACATTATATTTGCTGCTTATTTAACAAAACCACTTTTTCTACCCTTAATGTATATTAAGTTTTACACCTGTTTATATTTGTTTTTTGTAACCTGTAACTCTTTAACCTTTGCATAATATATATAAGCTTGTTTTTTTTAAAAAAAAATGTTTTAAAGATTGGGAAAAGCTTAAAAAGTTTTTTTTAAATATTTTTTTTATTATTATTATTTGATAGACTGCCTGCCAAACCAAACCCTCAGTTGATGTAGCTGTACTTCCTTGCAGCAGCAAGCTATAAGATAATCAATGTAGGAACACTCCCTTGTTGTAGCAGACTGTAAAATAGTTGATGTTGGGAAAAGCTTAAAAAGTTTTTTTTAAATATTTTTTTTATTATTATTATTTGATAGACTGCCTGCCAAACCAAACCCTCAGTTGATGTAGCTGTACTTCCTTGTAGCAGCAAGCTATAAGATAATCAATGTAGGAACACTCCCTTGTTGTAGCAGACTGTAAAATAGTTGATGTAGCAACACTCCCTTGTAGTAGTAGGCTATAATATAATCGATGTAGCAGTGTAGCAAACCGAACCCTCAGTCGATGTAGCTGCACTTCCTTGTAGCAACAAGCTATAAGATAGTCAATGTAGCAGCAATCCCTTGTAGCAGTAGGCTATAGGATATAGCAGCACTCCGCACAAGTTTTAAAGTAAAATTAAATAAAAACATTCAGAATGTTTTCATTTTAAAAAAATATAATCAAAACATTCAGTATGTTTTAAAAAACATTCTAGTTATTTAATTAGCGTTTTTGTGGTTTTTTAAAAAAACAACGAATTTAATTTTCAATTGATTAAAAATTAAATTGCTTTCTCAATCAAATTGATGCATTTTGACATAATCTGACCTTAATTTTGTCTTGTTAAATGTCATAGAGTAGTTAAGTTTTTTAACACAAATGTTAAGTTAAAGACCTTTATGCACTACAACAAGTTAAAGACCTTTATACACTATAGGTGTGTATATATATATATATATATATATATATATATATATATATATATATATATATATATATATATATATATATATATATATATATTTACATATATATATATATTATACAACCCTCGGAATATAAATATTATACAACCCTGAAAGTGCTTGAGGTCGGCAAAAAATTGCAGGCCTCGTTTCTATGTTTTATGGTCAGACCTTTGTATCAAATAATTTTTGCCGACCTGATGACGACCTCAAAAATATTTAAGTCGGCAAATTATTGCCGACCTCATTTTTCCAAATTCCGAGGGTTGGGTCAAATAACTAAAAAAAAAATTAAGATATTGACTTTGAAAGTTTGAAATAATATAAAAAAGAAAAAAGAAACTGGAAGTGTGGTCAATTGAAAACAATCGGGACATTGTCAAATTACATCTGCTACCAAAAGCAGAAGAATTACAATCATTAGTAAAATAAATAGATTATTAAATATTTCAGAACATATACTATGAATTGTTCTCAAAGAACTCATTATCTGTGACAGATAAGGTGATAAAATAATCATGGCACAACATTGACTTTAACAAATTGGATGAGTTATTATGTAGAATGTCAAGAATAGGTAAAGCAGCTATTACCACCTTATTAATAAAGTAATTTAATTTGATTTTTTATTATGTAAAATTAATCAATAGTGAAATAGCTTATTTTTCAGGTAACGTTTGTTTTCAGGTTTTCATCTAATAATAAGTAAAACTTTGATAACTTAGAAAAGTTTGGCTATTCAAATAATTATGAATGGTAGTTTTTTTTACAACTCTACACCCCCTGTATAAATAAATAAATATATATATATATATATATATATATATATATATATATATATATATATATATATATATATATATATATATCAGGGTCTATTTTAGGAAAAAAATTTGGACGGTTTTTTTGTGAAAAAAACAATATTTGCCATAAAAAATGTAAAAAAAAAAAAAAAAATTCTCAAATTTTAATTCAGACGGCACCCAAATATGGTCGACGCTGTCAAAAACAGTCTAGAATAGCCCCTATATATATATATATATATATATATATATATATATATATATATATATATATATATATATATATATATATATATATATATATATATATATATATATATTTTATATATATATATATATATATATATATATATATATATATATATATATATATATACAGGGGTGTAGAGTTGTAAAAAAAAGTACCAATTCCTACACCAATCATTGAAATTTTCAGAGTATGACTCCGACTCTAACTCCAAGAAGTTTTACTATTAGAGTCGGAGTCGTGATTTTGTTTAGAGGCCTGGATATATATATATGTATATGTATATATATATATATATATATATATACATATATATATATATATATATATAAATATATACATATATATATATATATATATATATATATATATATATATATATATATATATATATATATATATATATATATATATATATATATATATATATATATATATATATATATATATATATATATATATATATATATATATATATATATATATATATATATATATATACAGACGTGTTCAAATTATTAGACTATAGATTTAAGAAAATTATTTTCCGTGATTGAGTTCAAATATCTATTACATTTTCACAAGTATCACAGTTAAAAGATTTTAAGTATAAAATATGACATTTTTCTAATGTTTTTACATACTTTTTATATTTGGCAACGTCACTTTTTTTTTGTTAGAGCGTTTTCAATATTGGGAGGCAAGTCAGCGTATGTTTTTTTTCCTTTAGTAGCAAAACGTTGCAGCAGTTGTTTGGGTGTCATTTTAAAGTAATTTTAATTACTTTTAATTTATTTTCTTTAAAAAATTACTTTATGTATAAAAACTTAATTCGAATTTACTAATAAATTGTTTTTGTTTAGGAATTGTACAGTAAAACTGGTGAAATTATTTTATTTTAACAATGAGCAAAAAAAATGATATTTCCCCCAAAAAATATTCTGCTGTAAAAACTTTGTTGGGTGAAAAGGTTTACACACAAACTCAAATAGCTTTAAAAGTTGGTGTAAGTCAGAAAACAGTAAGCAGAATAAAAAAATGTGTTGATAATCAAGAGCCATATGAGCACCACAGAATAGGGAATTGTGGTCGTAAAAGAAAAATAACCCCAAGGACACAAAGAAATCTGGTTAAAATGGCACTTAATAACAGAAGAGCCACATCTAAGGTGTTGTGTCAACAACTTAATGAAGCAGGAGTCAATGTTTCTCCAGTTACTGTTCGGAGAAGGCTTTTTGAAAGTGGTTTGAAAAGTCGTCGTCCACGAAAAAAACAAAAGGTTACACCAGCGATGGCTAAAAAGAGGCTAGAATGGGCTAAAATTCATGAAAACATGTCTATCTATGACTGGAGTAAGGTAAAATGTATGCAAAAATTGTATTCAAAGTCATTTTGAGAGTTTTCACTTGATATCAAAATTTATTTTAAATATGAAGATGAGTTCTAAAAAAATTTAGGCAATTTTTTTTTCTAAAGAATCTCTCAAATTTTATCTGTAATTTTTTGCAAAGTGTTTCTGTGTACTCATTTGTATATTTATTATATCCAGGTATGTTTTAGCGATGAATCCATCTTTTTGGTGGTGGAAGAACAGAGCCAATATGTTCGAAGAAGACCAGGAGAAGAGTTCAAGGCAGAGTGTGTTAGCCAGAGTGTCAAGCATCCAACGTCTGTTATGGTGTGGAGTGTCATGTCAATACACGGACCGGGAATGTTGTACATCGTAGAAGGCACCATGAATCATGTACAATATATTAAAGTGCTACAAAATAGGTTAATGCCCCAAATTAAGACATGGTTTCCAGAGGGAGATGTAATTTTTATGCACGATGGGGCTCCGTGTCATAAAGCCAAAAAAGTGACAGAATTTCTTCAGCAGAGCAGAATCAAGACATTGCCGTGGCCAGGAAATAGTCCCGACATGAACCCCATTGAAAATTTGTGGGCTGTTGTAAAGAAAAAGATCAAGAAAGAAACAATTACCACCAAAGTGCAACTCATCGAAAAACTGATACAAATATGGCATCAAGACGAAGACATCAAAAACATTTGTAAAACTCTGGTAGAAAGCATGCCGAGCCGCATTAATATGCTTATTAAAGCCAAGGGGCTCCATACCAAGTATTAATTAGGGTTTTTTTTATATTTACGAACGTTATATCTGTAATATTTTTATAAAAATAAAAAAAAAACGAGAAAAAAATTTTAGTCTAATAATTTGAACACGTCTGTATATATGTATATATATATATACATATATATATATATATATATATATATATATATATATATATATATATTTATATATATGTATGTATATATATATAATGTATATATATATACAATATATATAAATATAATATATATGTATATATATATATATATATATATATATATATATATATATATATATATATATATATATATATATGTATGTATATATATGTATATATATATATATGTGCAGGGCTTAATTTAATTTTTTTAAAAGCCCAATTTTTGATTGGACAAATTGTCCAATCAAAACTTTATTGGGTCAGACAATGTCCAATCAAATTTTTAAAATATAATTACTTCGGTTTTATGAAACCGGGTTGTGCTATCGAAACCTTTGTCATGTTATTCAGTTTAATTAGCGTTAGTCTAGTGAAGTTGCAGTTTCTTTCCTAATTATTTAAAGTATTTCATCGCATCATTTTTGTTTTTTTAATAAAATAGTTTCAATTTAATATTGCATGTTTTTTTAGATTTAAATTTTCATGCTGTAACTGACGAAGCTTTTTTTTTCACTTTTTTTTCTTTACAATTTGTCAACGGCTGTTTTGATGTTTTAACAATTTAAATGCAATTTAAAAAATCTTTATGCTATGAATAACTTTTAACCATTGATCTTTTTTTTTAAGTTAAGTTTTAAATAAAATGAGAATTTATTATGATGACCATATAAAATAAATGTATTGCATGGAAATTGTCACACAATTTTTTCATCAGTAGGTATGTATTTTTTATGATAAATTTAAACGTTTGAAACTAATTTCGATGCTTTTCTTAAAATCTTTTAAAAGATTAGTTTTTAAGTTACTTTTAGTTATGAATAAATTAAAAGTTAAATTAAATCTTCCCATGATTTAATTGCTTTATTATTTTTTTTTTTTAATATTTTTACAATGAATTAAGTAAAAGTTTTTTTAATTTTACTCACAAGTTAAAATAACTTTTACAAGTTTAAATAATTTAAATTCACTTTTCAATAATTAAACAAAATTTATTTATTTATATATCATTATCATCAATCAATAAAAGTAAATTGCAAAAGTATTTTGCATAACTTTAATTAAACGTTTTTGCAAGGAATTGTTTTGCTTACTCTTTAATTTTTTTTTCCTGGTTTAAGTTTAGCTTTTCTTTTTTCAGCGCATTTCTAAATCATCAAATCATCTAAACAGTCGTGGTCATCAGTTGTAAGCAAAAAATCATTTGCGTGATCAACAATAGCGTTCGATTGCACGCCTTTCCTGTCCAAGCTTTATTTTGTAGAATTTAATTCCCGTCGGTCAAAATGTCTGAACAATTTCGGACAATCTGAGATTTTAGCAGGACAATGTCCGATGGCCAACCCTTAAATTGAGCCCTGTATGTGTGTGTATAAAAATACATGTAATATAAATAACTTTTTTAATAACTTTTTTAAGAAGAAACAGAAAAAAAAATTTATTCTAATTTTTTGTAACTATTAGTTATAATAAACATATATTTACATAACAAAGCAAAAGAAATATTTTATTCACAACATTTAAACACTATTTCCTAAAATTTCATATATATTTCTAAAAAAATAACAAAAACACCATAAAACATAAAATATTTCTATTAAAGTTTCCTATAACTTTAAAAAAATCTTTCTATAAACCATCATGTGATAAAAAATCCCACGATTGCAACCATTTTTTATCATTTATCTGATTACGACTCAGTGACAAAGTGCCATAAGTAAAAACAGAAAAGTAATTGTAACTCCAAATCATTGCTAGCAGATAGATAAAACAACAATATTTGAATAGTATCTGTAAAATTTTTATGTCTCTAAAATATTTTAAAAAAACTTTTATTAAAATATTAAATAAAAACTTTCAAGCAATGTTTTAATATTTATTAGTTAACTTTTATTTTATTTAAAAAAAACTTTTTTATTAACATTTATTGTTCTTTTATTGTTGTTATTATTATTATTACTTTTATAACTATTATTGTTGTAACTATTATCAATATACATTACTAATATATAAATAATAGACATAATTATTTACATTATATTTATTTCCATTAACAGTAATATACATGTATATTAACAATAATATTTTGAATACACATGTATAATTATTATTCTTATTATTATTGTTGTAACTATTATAAAAATTGTGTTCAAAATAACACGTAGTATCTAAACAACATCAGAAGGACTTACTTTAATAACACATTGTTCAAATGATTAGCAATAACAGGAATGAGAATGATTTTGAACAGAAGCGAAGGTAGGTAATGATGAATAAACAAAGTTCTTTCCATAGGAACAAAGAATAAAAAATTTAAAAAATATCCTCCAACTAACAAATAACCAGAGAGTAAAAAAAGATTCCATTGAACTAAACCAAAAAAAAAAAAAATTAATTATTACAACAGTTAAAGCAATCAAAAACATTAACCACGTAAATTTAATTTTTAGATTTCATAATTAGACAAATATATCTGTACTTTTTAGATATTATAGTTAGATAAATCAAGTTATGCAGTTATGATCTCTCTAAAAATTCTTTTGATTTGTTAGATAAATCAAGTTATGTAGTTATGATCTCTCTAAAAATTCTTTTGATTTGAAACAAATTACATTGATACCTTGGTACAACAGAGAACTCCCCTCCCCCCCCCCCCAAAAAAAAAAAATACTATTGGTAGCTATAGAATTATATACATAAAGTAATATATTATTAAATATTTCATAAATTCTTACCGTTTGTAATATCATAAATTGCTCGCTGCCTTCTTAAAAGATAAACAACCATTAAAAAAAGATAAACCATAATTGCTAAACACCCAAGCCACCAAACAAATGGGTTGCCAATACAAAATATTTGTCTCTGAAAAAAAAAATCTCAAAACTAAAGATAGATTAAACAATTTAACAAATAAAAACAAAAATATTAAACAAATAAAATTTGAGGTTTTTTTTAAAGTTTACATCCATAGTTCATCACAAGTGTGATTAGGAAATATTTCTATTATGCCACTTTTTTATTGTCATATAAATATAATAATGGAAACACTAAATTAAATTTTTACAACCTACTCCTGGTGTTCACATTTAAAATGTCATTGAATCATGCTACCAAGGTAGAGCTGGGATGGAAATAATTAAAACAAAATATTAGTTGATTTGGATTCTATTTATACAAAAATTTACTTTTTTAATACCATTTGTTCAGTGTTAGTTAGGTTTTCATCTAACTAACACTGACTATCTAACTGACTTCAAGCAATAACAAAGTTGAAAAACTCATTTCTTTCAGCACAAAGGATTGTATCAAATTTTAGATATAAAATAAACACATGGATAGTTTACATTATGTGTCATTTTCAGCCTTATGTGGAACATATGGCTGAACGCAGTAGAATTTATAACCAAGGATTAAGTAGCTTTGCTGAACAACGTGGAGAAAGTATTCAATCAAACTTCAAACCAAAATTGATGTGTGTGTATTTATATATATACATATATATATATATATATATATATATATATATATATATATATATATATATATATATATATATATATATATATATATATATATTATATGTACATATAATATATGTATATATATATATATATATATATATATATATATATATATATATATATATATATATATATATATATATATATATATATATATATATATATATATATATATATATATATATATTATATGTACATATAATATATATATATATATAATATATATATATATATTAACACACACACAGTTTTGCTTGATCATCTTTGTCATATTTTCAAATTAATTTAGAAGACTGGAAAAAGTTTAAAAAATTTGATGGAGCTGAGTTGAGTGAACTGGTAGGCTTTTTTATTTTACATACCATCAGCAAAGAATACGGATTAAGTACCAATCGTTTATATAGAGATGACGGGATTTGCTATTTCAATGGTATTAGTGGACCGCAATCAGAAATAATAAAGAAAAACATCATTATTTTTAAAGAAAAATTCAAACTAAATATAACAAGAAAATCTAATTTAAAAACTTTTAACTTTCTTGACGTTTTGCTCAACTTGTCTGACAATTCTTATCAGCCATATAGGAAAGCAGGTGACATCCTATTAGATATCAATGTTAATTCGAACTATCTTCCAAACATTCTTAAAGCTATTCCTTCAATGATATCTAACCATATAAGAAGTATATCCTCAAGTAATGAAGTTTTTAATTGAGCCGCTATTTTTTACAATAGTGCCCTAGAGTCTAGTGGATTTAAAGAAAACATTACTATTGCCGTTGCCAACGACTCTTTAAAAGTTGCAAAATCACGTGCACGAAATATTATTTTGTTTAACTCTCCGTTTTCAATTAATGTCAAGACAAACGTAGCCAAACCTTTCCTAAATTTAATTAATAAAAACTTCCCAAAATCTCATAAATTCTTTAAACTGTTTAACCAAAACAATCTGAAGGTTAGCTATAGCTGTCTTCTAAATATTCGCAACATCATCACTTCACATAACAATAAAATTTTATCAAATTCTTCAAATCTTAATGTTCCAACATGCAATTGCCGACAGATTAATTTATGTCCGCTTAATGGAAAATGTTTAATTAAAAATGTCATCTATTTATGTAATGCTAAGACAAACCCGCAAGATGAAGGTAGCTATTATATTGGGCTAACAAAAAAACACCAGGCTGAACTGTTTAAGCCTGGTGGTAAGTCATGCAATTTATGCTTGATGGAAAATTATAATTTAGTTTCATTCTGATTACCTTTACTAAATAAGCGAAACAAACTTGCATCTAAGTGTCGCTATGAAAATAAATACATGATGAGTAACTTTTATGTCATCAAAGAGGAAACTCCACAGTATTTTTAATATATTTTTTTGTCGTTATTTTTGAGATTTGTAACATCAGATGATCGCTATTTGAGTGAAACTCTGAGTAATGTTTTAAATAAATCTAGTGTTATAATTATTTAGTTTTTACTATACATTGCTCCACTTTGGTATTGAAACAGCAAATTAGGTTCAATGTTCAGATATTTTGGTTGAATTAAAAACCCAGCTATGAATAATGATCTTGTGCATGGCTCAATCTTTACAAATATTTTATCTTAATAAAATAATCTACTTATAAGAATATATCTTTACTAATTGGTCAGCATCATAATAAAATTAAGTATTGACAAAGTTAAATCAAATGAAGAGATAAAGATAAGCATTTTAAAATACGACTAAATCAACTTTTAGATTAGTCAATTTTTAGTCAATTTAGTCGAACTCGATAACAACTTTTTGTTCTAAACCCTACCTTTAGCACTTTATAGAGATTTTGAAAACTAATTTTTTTAAAGCCTACAAGACAAATAGCCTTTTATTCAAAAGATTTTGTTTGCCATAATGTTAAACCTGGCAATCTATTTGGTCTGCAGTAACATGGAAACATGCAGCACAGCTGAAAATGATCTACTTGCATTTATTGTATTACAAATTGTTACCAAGATACCATATTTGGAACTTGAAACAAAATCAATTGGATGTTCTTCTCTTCTAGTTAAAACATGTTATGCCATATTAGTGATACCAGTCTCATTAATATTCATAACTTAATTTGAACCAAACTTGTATTTGAACCAATACCAGTATGTTTACTTGTTTACCAAGATTCTGTAAAACGTAAACAAGAATGTAGAAATCAATAGGACTAATCTTATTTTTGAAAAAACTAACCAACAATATTTTTTTTCTTCTAATACTGAAAACACTTTTATAGAATTGTTATTGTACGAAATACACTGTAATTTATTAAACCTATCTAGTGATTACAGAGCGTCTTTAATTTGCTTCTTAAAAAGTGAAATATATTAAACATAAAAGTTAAATACTAAATTAATAAACCAAAAATGGTTGACAGTTAAAACCCAAAAAAATAATAGTTGATTTGATTGATTGTATTAACTTCAGCATTTCTCATATCACAGATAAAAAAAATCTGAAATAATTCTGCCTAATTCTAAGGAAAATTTAAAAATTAATTACAATAAATATAAACCATTTATTATTTGTATAGCATTGAAACAAATAGTTAAATGCATTTACACAACAAACTTTAACAACATTTAAACAAACAAATAGTTAAATGCATTTATAATAAATTTATTTATTATAGATTTGGCACATCATACATTACTCTTAGTATCTATCCAATATGCTATTCCACGTTTCATGATTGGCCATTCAAAAGGTCTAGAAGCATATACATGTTCTTGTGTTATCATGCTATTGACTTTGAACATCTGAGTCTGTAAATAAACAAAGTTTCTAAAATTATGATTCTTTATTTGAATGAAATCTTTGTTTGTATAAAATTGTGAAAAAAATGAATCAGTAGTATATGTTATTTTTTTATTTGTATTTTTTTAGAAAAATTACATAGTAAAAATAACAACCAATATCAATCTGTAAAAAAAAAAGTAGAGATATTAACAAGTAGAGGACTCTGAGAATTTGTGATTTAAAAGTGTTCCACCAAGTTCAATTAGAGTGAAAAAAAAAAGTGTTCCATCAAGTTTAATTAGAGAAAAAAATAAAACTCAATGTAACTAGAACATAAATAAGTTCATAAAATTTATTTAGTATTTTAATACAATTATTTTCAATATCACAATGTTTTTTTAATTTAATCCTTTTTTTTATTATTATTCATAAAAGTTTTTTATATAAAAGAAAAATAATTTTCTAGAAAACGCAAGCTCAAAAATATTCTAAAATGGACCTAAAGACAAAATTATTGATAACAATTGGGTATTAGCAAATAGTACATACAGATGTAAGATTTCTCGATTCTCAATCAACTGTTGTAAAGATCTAAGTAAAGTTATCTAAAGTTTCTTGTATATTAAAAAGAAAAAGAAAATTTACCTGCAACTCCCAGAACTTTTGAAAGAAAGTCATATCAGAAATTTCAATATGATTTTGGTTTGCTAAAATAGCCCTTGCCTCTTCTTCAGTCATATTAGAAGCTATATTGTACAAGTAATAAAAAATTCTTCAGTCATATTAGAAGCTATATTGTACAAGCAATAAAAAATTCTTCAGTCATATTAGAAGCTATATTGTACAAATATTGCACTATATATTGTACAAGTAATAAAAAAATACTATTATTATATTGTACAAATATTATTAATTAAATAAATATTGTTAATTTTTCAAAGTTAACTTTAATCAACGTAACTGTGCAACAAAAATTAACTATCACATGTTTTAGTAAGTATAGAATCAACTATCACATGTTTTAGTAAGTATAGAATCAACCATCACATGTTTTAAATATTTTAAAGCTGTTTATAGAATGTCACTTGTACTTATTTAATTGTTAAAAAAAAAAACAACTTAAGAAAAAGTTTTGGGTATTAAAGAAAATATCAACAACTTTAAAGTTTTATCAAAAAGATCATTACAGCAATGTTTTTGATGGTTTTAAAATATAAACTTTAAAATAACCATTAAAATACAACAAATAAAAAATAATGATTTATTTATACATAAAACATAAAAATAAAAAACGATGACTTATTTGTACATGAAATATAAAAAATAAAAAACAATGACTTATTTGCACATAAAATATAAAAATAAAAAACAATGACTTATTTGTACATAAAATATAAGAAATAAAAATCAATGACTTATTTGTACATAAAATATAAAAAATAAAAATCAATGACTTATTTGATCATAAAATGTAAAACATAAAAAATGATGACTTATTTGTACATAAAAAAGCAACTAACTTTTAGGGCTTACTATTCTAATGTGTATGACTTTTTTTTTATTTAAAATTTTTTTAATAATAATGAAGTTTTTTTAAGAAAAAAAAGATCGTAATGTTTTCAAATTCAATTATGTCAGTAAAATTAATATCAACAATAATATTTTAAACTCAATAATGTTAGTAAAATTAACATCAATAACATTTTTTTAAATTCAATGTTTTTATTAATTTATTATTATTTTACTGAAAATCTAGATCAAATGTGTTTTCTAATGTCATTTTTAAATAAATTATTATAAGCTAACACAGCTAGTGCATTTACAACATGTACCTTTTATAAAAATGTTTTATATGCAATTTTTACACATAAAAAATCTCTGTTTCTTTAGAACTCTCTACAAAAATAATACACAATAAAACTTGTTAATCAAAAAAAAGATTTTATTCTTTATATTTTGTGAATATTTTACAGCGTAGTTGAGAGAAGTGAAAGCTAGAAATATGTTATACACAAGCTCAAAAGAAAATCTAACTAATCTCGGAAAACATCTACTTTTTGTTGTGTCGCAAAAGTAATATACAGAAAAATAACATATAACAACTTGAGTGTTTTATTTTTTAAAAAAAAGCGTGGTTCTTAAAAAAAAAAAAAAAGGTTGTTCTTAAATTGATAAACTTGGTAATAAAAATTTGACTTGAAGATGTGTATTTTTTGCTTGTGGGTCTTTTTCATTTTATATTTTTGGTTGAAATAAATAATACTCAATTACTACAATGATAAATTGCATATTTTTGAAACAAAGAAATGATCTTTATAAAACTATATAAGTTTATTTCAATAAAATTTAGAAAATTTCCGAAAATTTTCAACCCTACAGAATACCAAAAATAACATGTAATTATGGGGAAGGGATGAGGTTTTTTTGTTTCTTAAGGTTTATCAATCACAAAATGATTTTTTTTATGCCATAACCATCTAAAGTTTCTAAAGCTTGCATAATGGAAGACATTGCAAATACATTTAAGAAAACTATCAATTAAATCTATCAATTAATCCCTATCAACTAAAGTTCTAGCAATAGTGCAACAAAGACTGAAACCTCTTTATTTAATCATAATTAATCATACTTGAAACTTTTACCAAACTGTGACTTATCATTCTATTCCTCGAAATGAATGATTCAGTTTTAATATTATAAGAGTTTGACAATGAACAATGTTATTTTTAAATGTGACATGAAAATTTAGATTTTAACTTTGTCTGAGTTATGTCTCAGAATAGTGCAAAGTACGTATATCTTACTTTTACTTCAGGTTTACAATATAATAATCTACATTTAATACTAATGAATGACTGTTTTTTTCATTGTTTAAATCCTTTTTTACTAATATCATAACTTTTACTCAGGTTTACATTATTTGAGATTTCCATTAGGCTCTACATTCCATAGCTTCTAAAGATATTTTTAAAGAGATATTCTGCTACATTTATTATCAGATGTGTCTACATAAAAAAGAACTTTATTTTATTATCAAAATTTTCTAAAGAAAACTTGTCTCAAGATTTAATGTTGTCTTTTTTCTTAGAGACTCTGAAGTAACTTAACAAAATAAATATAAATTACTGTTAATAAAATGTCCAGAAAGTTATTCATAGTTATAATAATTTAAAAAATATTTTTAAATACATTAAAATTACTTGAAAGTTTTTTTGAGTTGTAACATTAATTTCTTTAAATTAGCGTTCAATGTTTGAAAATAAAAATAAATATATTTTTGTAAATTATATAAATTGTATAAATATGATTTGATTATTTATTTAACTTTGTCAGTTGTTCATGTGTTGAAATATTTAGTCAGCTGTTCATGTCTTAAAATTTAGTTAGCTGTTCAAGTATTTTGATAAATTAAATGATTATAATTAAATTATTCAAAATTTTTTTTCAAAATTATTAAAAAAAAAAAAAATGCACTAATCTAATTATTAAGTTTTTAATTTTATGACATTATGACAGCCCTTGTTAGCATCTTGTTCTGTTCAGAAAATATAGTAATAAACAACTTTAAAAATATGATATGACAAACAGAATCTAATCCTAGATGACAACATAAACCAATTTTTAAAACATTGATTATTATATTATTATTATAAATTAAAAAATTACGCAAAGAAATATTTTGATTGTGTTCTTCTACATTCCAAATTGATTCTTCAGTATTAACCATTCGATCAGTAGCAACCTTTTAACAAAAGAGAAGAATAAGGATAATAACAGCTTATAAAAACTCAAGAGAAGATGAATATCATCATCATCATCATCATCATCATCATCATCATCATCATCATCATCATCATCATCATCATCATCATCATCATCATCATCATCATCATTATCACTGTAGTAAAATAACAAATAATACAATCTCTAAGTTTATAACTACTCATATTTTAGGTTGTTCTTTTTTTTTTTATCAATTTTTAACTGATTGTAATTACCCATACTTATGTATAGGATAAACTTAGGTAAATTGAATTATTTTTGATGTTTTTAAAAAATTTTGGTCAAAGAAAAACATGAATACCTTGCGGTTTCCAAAATTTATGATATTTCATGTATAATTTACAACACAAAACAAAATACCAAAGTAAAAACTTAATATGACAATTTAAAAAAAAAAAACATGTTCCCTAGTTCACCAATATTGGGGTAAAGTACTTCATCATAAGGACTTTCGTGTTTGTTACTTCTGTTCATACATTATTATTATTAAAACTATTTTTTATATGCTGTTGTTTACCTTCTATGAATCAATTTAAAGTTCTTTTTTAAAGTTTTCACTTTGCTTATAGTTTAATTTTTTAAAGTTTTCACTTTGCTTATAGTTTAATTTTTTAAAATTTTCACTTTGCTTATAGTTTAATTTTTTAAAGTTTTCACTTTGCTTATAGTTTAATTTTTTAAAATTTTCACTTTGCTTATAGTTTAATTTTTTAAAGTTTTCACTTTGCTTATAGTTAAATTTTTTAAATTATTCTGGTTTAATTATTCAAGTTCTCTTTTAAAGTTCTCATTTGAAAAGATTGTGATAATAATACTGAGGAGTATTATTATCACAATCATTTGTAAACATGTGAACAGTGGGAAAACACAAAATAATTGTACAATTTTTTATTGCTTTTTTAGCAGTTTCTAAAAAAATGTAATTCATATGATTATCAAAAACAAGGGAAGTGAATTTTGGGGTTTCTTTTAACCACAGTATAGGATCAGTGGAAACATCCATTTTTATAGGATCAGTGAAAACATTCAGAGGATCAGTGAAAACATTCCAGAATTCAGTAGAAACATCCATTTCTATTCATTTATTTTCTGTCACGTCATATCAGGAAGCATTTAGCTCACAAATCATCCACCTTTTATACAAATTCTAAATGTTTAAGTTATATAAAAAGTTACTAAAACTAATATTTATTTTAAAACTAAAAGTAATTATGATGTATATACAGTTCTAAAAAAGGTATATGATAAAAAAATATATATATATATATACAAGTTCACATTGAGTAGTCTCAAAATGAGTTAAAAAGTTAGCTAAGCTAATTAACAAATTCTACATTATGAGAATCTTATTATAATGATAATTTGTCATGACACAAACGATAATTATTCATTTAGACATTGTTAAAATATATGAAAAATAGTTTAACTATTTTTCATATACTTTATCTATAAACAACGCCATAATTTTTTATTTCCACATTTTATTTTAAACCCAACATTTGTACATAGCATGAAATTATTAAACAAATATAAATGAATGCAAAAAAAAAAAAAAAAATAACATGGGCATATTATTAATGTAAAAAAGTTATAATATTTTGTTGTGGTTGGCATGACAATGACAGTTACATTTCAACTTTAAAACATTTGCATCTATTTGTCTGATATTTATTGGGTCTTGAACAGTTGCAACTTTGCTTTAAAATATTTGCATCTATTTGTCTGACATTTATTGGGTCTTGAACAGTTGCATTTAGTAAAATCTTTTCCTTCACACATCAATTGAAATTTAAAAGCATTTCTCAGACTAATTTCCTCATTTCGATTAATGCCTCCTTCTCCTTCATGACACAACTAATTTTCATTGTGGCCAAGTATAATTTCAAGCAAGTTTTTTAGATCTACACGACCACAGTCTACTAAAGGTATAGGTATATTATCTCCTAAAGGTATAGGTATATTATCTCCTTTGTTTACTGATAATTTTATAATTTTACTTCTTTTAATCATAATTCCCGCTTGGTGCAACATTGCATCTCTGAATTTTTTCCATCAATCCTTTAATGCTTTGCTATTTGGTAAAGTTGCTATTCTATCCAAAGTTTTGCTTATCTGTTATTTGTGCATCTTTGGCTTTACTACTTTGTTAATTTATTGTGTTGATATCTTGATATCAACACAATAAAATGTTAGAGGTGTTACTTCATCCAAAGTTTGTCCATCAGCGATATTGTAAGTTAGAGAAATAGCTGCATCATCTGTTATAGAATTTGTTATAATATTTTTGTTTGTAAATTTCACTTTGATGGATTAAAGCAAAAAAGTCTTTTTCAGTTTTTAATTTTATTAGACAATTGTGTTGATCTTATCCCTAACCTAGGTTAGCCTCCAAAAAGTGCATTATAAGGAGATTGTTTAATACCAGTATGATAGCTAATATATTTACTTTAAGTTGTAGAAATTTTAATTTATTTATTTAAGTTGTACTAATTTTAGACCAATTGGAAAAATTGTTGAGCTATTGTCAGCAAGTCAAACAATTAGCATGTTTTTTACATCACAGTTTTTCTACTGATCTTTAATTTAAAGAGTAATGAGGCTTACCATGAACGAGTAAATCAAGTCATAGTTGTTTTAAATCTTTTATGGCACTTAAAATGGCACTTAGTTACTTACTTACTTACTTTTATGGCACTTACTGCAGCAAATTCTGATCCATTATCCAATTGTAAAATCTGTGGTGTACCAAATCTTTAAAAAATGTTCATAAGTTGAAATTCAACTTCAACAGCACATTTTGTTGTTAATGCATGCAGGATGTCATACTTAGTAAAATTGTCTTGTAAACCTATTTAAAATCTTTATATCAATCAACTCATAAAGCTTATTATTTAGATTTATATCGACCAACTCATGAAGTTTAAAATGAGTTTGACTATGACACTTTTAGTTGTTGCTTATTTTTTCATACATTCTAAACATGATAATTTAAACAGTTCAACAGCTTCTCGGATAATATTATCATATTTTGAAGTAAGCATTTTTAACATTTTATCTCTTCCCCAATTATCAGTTAAAATACAGGCTCATTTAATATATATATATATATATATATATATATATATATATATATATATATATATATATATATATATATATATATATATATATACATATATATATATATATATATATATATATATATATATATATATATATATATATATATATATATATATATATATATATATATATACATATATATATAAATTGCACATTGCCTGTTACATTATGGCTTTACACATTGCCTATAACATTCTTGCTGGTCATGATTGATCAGTTAAAAAAATTGAAAAAGAGTTTTGAAAACAAAGATTTTGAAAACAAAGATGGAAAATACATATACTACAATTTCATAAAATCATTTGAAAAATAATGTTTAAGTTCTGCGCATTAAGTTTATTATTTAAAAACATTATTCACTCATCATTAGTATTATCAATTGTGAAAATAATTTTAATGAGATATATAAAATGTGCAATCGTTTTTCTTCTTTAACGTCATTAACTTTAAAGATTAAAGGTCTTATTTTATTATTATTTGGAATTGAAAAGAACATTTTCACTTCTAACTGTATGTTTTTGTTTCATTTATATCTTCATAGCATTACCCGCCATTTGGAAAGTCATTGTAATGCATGAGTTATTTTTAAATAAATTTAAAATTATCAACTGCGTGTTTGCACTTTATTTTTCTTATACTAATCAATTAATCAAAGAAACAGACAAAACATGTACTTGTTTTTTTTTTTTTTTTAGTTTCAATTTTTTACTTTTAGTAAAAACTTTGTTTCATTTAACATAATTACTATAGAAACATTTTATAAAACGATTTCTTTTTTTATTAAGTATTCAGTCTCAATATTTTATAAGAATTGTTTTGATATTTTAAAAGAATTTAGCATTAATTAAATTCAATTACTTGGATGTTAACAAACTTCCTTTTTTAATTGAATAAAAATGTGTGCATGAGAGAGTTATTTCATTATTAATTTTTAACATTTATTTTACTATTAACTTTAGCAGGTAATTTGATTATAAGTTTTTAGCGAGTTTCCATTTAAAAAATTCATTGATTTTATTTAAAACTATTATTTTGAAAAGGAATAAGAATTCCTTAATTTTCAAGCATTAAGTTTTTCTATTTATAATGTTCAGTCATAAAGTATTATTACTAAGATAAAAACTTGAATAAAGAAAAAACTGTTAGCCGGTTGAATTGACTGCTTGCTTTTGATTTCTTATTTTATATATATACATACACAGGGGCAGATCCAGACCATCTAGTAAATGAGGGGGGGGGGAGGAAATTTTCAGGGGTGTTTGGATTTAATGAATCCAGACTATCTAGAAAGGAGGAGGAAACTTTTTGATTTGATGGATAGTGGGGAATAGTTTATTTTAATATTTATTTCAAATTGTTATATTTGCAAACTAAAAATTCATGCAGGTAATGAATCATTTTAATAACATAAACATACTGAGAAAGATATATATATATATAAAAAATATATATATATATATATATATATATATATATATATATATATATATATATATATATATATATATATTTGCCCTATTCGACACAGGTGTTTGAGCAATTTTCTAATTAATTAAAAAATTATTTGTTTTGACGTCAGAACTCATTCCATTGCTTTGAAACATAAAACTTTAAGTTCCATCACAAAGTTGTATTTTTTCAAATAATCAAACTCTTTATATAATAATACTGATCTATTTAGTAAACAATTTACTTAATATTGATCACTCTCAAACAAACAAGAGACTTTGTATCATAACTTGGTACAATAAAACAACATCAATTAGCTCAATACGTCGAGCACTCTTCTCAAGTCATATACGCAATGAAAAAAACTAACTTGAATTATTCAATCAA